TGTGTGATTGCCGGAAGTCTATGGGCAGAATTGAAAAATATAGTAGGTTATTTTGAAGGAAATTTAATAAGCTTTAAGATGCTAAAATGTAAAATTTAATTTAAATATTAATTTTGCTGAAAATTAGAAAAATGTGAAAAATGAGCTTTCAACAAAATCGTAAAAGTGTGCTCCTAATATGAGAGACCTCGGAAAATCGCTAATAAAGTGCAAAATACATGATATTGCAATTAAAAAACTTTATTTAAAGTTTTTGAAAGACAAATGTAATGGAGAAGCATATTTGCAACAATCGTAAACCCACTTATACTCAGTATTGTACCTAATCTTCCTTCTGTACCCTTCCCTCTCAAATCAAGGTCAGCACAGTCTTATAAATTCGTATAAACCTTTCCTTAACGTTAATATAGTATTTTCTCTTCTTTTATTACTATACAATAACTTTCATACTCCAGCAACCCAGGAGTATACCCTAAGTATCTCATGTTACGAGGGCTCTAGGAAGAAATCTCCCCGGAAAAATCCTCCCCGGAAATAAGTTCCCGGGAAAATCTCCCCGGAAAAAATCTCCCCCGGAAAAAATCTCCCCCGGAAGAAATCTCCCCCGGAAAAAATCTCCTCCGGAAAAAATCTCCCCCGGAAAAAATCTCCCCCGGAAAAAATCTCCCGCGGAAAAAATCTCCCCATCCAAAATTCCAGTACTACTGTATTTCAAATTGAGATGGCATTTTTAAAAGCCGTTACACTAGACTGTGCGACTTTATTTGATGCTTGTACATGTTATTATTCGGAACCGTCAACTGATTGTACTGTGTTTACTCATCGTCAGCAATATCACCTCGAATAACAGTAATCAGTCTGTTGTAAGTACTGGTAGCGATATTATCGTGCACCATGCCGCTCAAAAAGCAACAAGAGAAAGAATCAGCTGATTGCTGATGGTGAATTGTATTACAAGCATGGGGAGGGGTCTAATGGAAAAGTTATTTGGCGGTGTGTGCAGTATAAAACCGGGTGTCGGGGGATTTGTCACACGTCGTCGGAGTTACGCGATGGTACGTAAATTAATGTACTTAATGGCAGTATCGGAAAATTGTCATTACTCTTTTATTTTTTGCTTATTATAGGTATCATTTTGCATCAAACTGAGCACACAACTCACACTCCTAACGCTGCAGCAGTTGAGACAAAGCGCGTTGTTGCAAAATTACGGAAGAAAGCGGTGACAAGCAAGGAAGCATCATCGTCGTTAGTGGTGTCCGTGCTGGGTACGGTGTCGTCTCCTGTTGCTGCACAATTACCGAGTGCTGAGTCATTGAGTCGGACTGTCCGAGGAATCCGTCAAAGAAACAATCCTTTACCGCCTAATCCCAGGAAGAACACATTGTATGAAATACCAGAACACTTTCAAAAGACATTGAAGAGCGTGAAATTCTTGTTATTCGACTCTGAGGATATTAACAACAGACTGCTTATATTTGCTACGGAGGATAATCTGCAGGTGTTGCGAGAATGTGACATATGGTATTGTGATGGTACTTTTAAAGTAGTGCCTGAAATATTCGACCAACTGTACACCGTGCATGGGGAGGTGAATGGCAAAATTGTGCCTTTTGTATATGCGTTATGCCCTAATCGACGCAAGAGAACATATCAAACTCTGTTGCGGGTTCTAAAAGATGCTATTCCCGGGGTGGCCCCAAAAAATGTAATGTCGGATTTTGAGATGGCATTTTTAAAAGCCGTTACACTAGAATTTCCCGAGTGTGAAATCAAAGGGTGTTTATTCCATTTCGGTCAAGCACTTTGGCGTAGTATACAAGATCACGACCTTGCGCCATTGTACCGCGAGAGCAGCCGCGTAGCTCGTAATTTGCGAATGTTATTCGCATTGGCATTCGTTCCTTCCTGCGATGTCACTTACGCGTACGATGCTTTGCTGCAGTCGAAATTTTTCACGGATAATGAGAAAGATTTGAGAGGTTTTCTCGATTATTTTGAGCACACTTGGGTTGGCGTGTTAGGTCGTCGTAAAGTGCGACGCGGCGCAATGTTTGACATTTCTTTGTGGAACCACTACTCCTCAGTGATGGTGGCTGTTGCTCGTACCAACAATGCAGTGGAAGGATGGCACCAAGCACTAAATCGGAGAGCAAATGGTTCGCATCTCGTACTGTGGAAAATGATTGAGTTGCTTCAAGCAGAGCAGGGTCTCGTCGACGCTCACATTGCGCGCGCGAATGCTCACGCTCCTGCGAATGATAGAAACAAGCGCTACAAAGACAACGATGCGCGATTGAAGAGTCTCGTTGCAGCCTACAACCGACAGGATGTGTTACAATATTTGAAGAATGTCGCTGCCAATCTATCGTTATAAAAATGTGTTATGAATTATGTGTTATTTATCTTTGTTGTTAGTTACGCCGATTGTATTACGTTAATTGCGCTTTGTTGGATGCGTTGAAAATCCTGAGGAATGTTGCTGTCAATCTTTCGTTGTATTAAATTATCATGAGTTATGTATTTATTGTCTTTGTTTTTAGTTACGACAACTTTTTTAATTTATTTGCGCTTTGCTGGTTGCGTTAAACTTCTTGAGAAAAGTTGTCTTGCAAAGTATATGCGTGGGATTTTCACACGTGGAAAGTTGTAAACTCATGTGGCACCTCGCCTTGCGCGGAAAGTGTATGCGTGGAAGCAGTAGGTTCCGCCCCCCTGCGGGGGGCTCCACTATCATTAAACTATACACATAGTGTGCCTTGCAAAGTACGTGCGTGGGCTTTTCACACGTGGAAAGTTGTAAACCCATGTGGCACCTCGGTTTTTGCTGGGCACGGAAATTTTTTCCGGGGGAAATATTTTCCGGGGGAGATTTTTTCCGGGGGAGATATTTTCCGGGGGAGATTTTTTCCGGGGGAGATTTTTTGATGGGGAGATTTTTTCCGGAGAGATTTTTTCCGGGAACTGATTTCCGGGAGATTTTTTCCGGGGAACAAAACGTCGAGCACGTGTTACGAGCACCACGCCTTGCGGTTTCACGATCACCAAATCTAATCTCTACTACAATTGAGCAACTCAACATATCCCGTATTTTCCTATTAATACGACCTTACTCTATCGCTGCATGCAGAACTTATTGCCAAATATTTATTAATTATATAATAAACAAGGTTTAAAGACTCATATCCATGACACTTGACAACATCCAATTTCACAATTTCTTTCTCTGCAACGACTACACGCACGATCAAACAATGAATTTTTCACTAAATAGGTTTTACCCCAAAGGCAATAAGTTCATGGTGGAACCAACAGATAGGGCCTATTAGTTTAGCAGAAACCTCGCTGTCGCATATTAGGAGCCTATCTCATAATAGGGGACTTAATAATTAATTATTAAGAACATACCTAATCTATAAGTATAATATTTTCATAACTTAAAAATGCAGATTACCCTGTCAGTTTATATGCTTCCGTAAATCAAACAGAAACATACTATGGAGACATTAAAAGACACGATTAACAGTCAAACATTCTGACTGTTTTTATAGTAATAACCGCGTGATGAGTTTGCATCCGTTTTAGCATTTTTTTCCGGTCGTCTAGCATGTAAATGAACTACTTGGCCATTTATAAGAAAAACGTCGGTTACAATAAATACAGTTTTACTAAAATAAAGCAAAATAGGTTGAGTATATAATTACTCCGGCACAATTTTTTGCTATAGCAAAGAAAGGTTTAAAATATATTTTAAAAATATATGCGTGTACATGAAATAGAAGAAACGTTAACTTTAAAACGCTTGTTAGAATTTTCCAAGATGTTTTATATATTGAATATTTAAAGATACTTATAAATAAATAAATTTATTTAATTTTTTAGCATTAAATTATATATTTTTTCTACTATCTTTAGCTTTGGCTTAAGATATTAACAAATAAAAAATAAGGGTAAAAGAATAATTTAATTACTATTGATAGCCTATTTATTTATTTATTTTTTGCGCAAAATAAAAGATAGAAGGTAAAGTTTAAAATCTCTAAAAGATCTCACATGTTTTAAAGACTCAATTAAGATTTTCTTAAACTTAATTGTAAGATTGGAAAGACCGTCTTTTTATTTTTTTACCGTCAAGAAGGAGAAAAGAAAGCAGCGGAAATAGAAGTTATTTGAATTTTTTCTTTAAACTATAATATTTACTTTCGTTTTTACTTCCGTTCTCTATTTCCATTTTCACTTTTCTTGATTAATAATAATTACAGTGTTTTTTTTTTATTTTTCAACACATTTGTGTGCGCACTTATTTGAAACATCCAACATCACTTTCTTGCGCTTTAATCATACCTACAGCCTCAGACAATTGTCTCTTCACGATACTCATAGTTTATTGCGAGAAAAATCTCAACTTCGATTTGCTCTTTTCTTTAGTTAAGCTATCACAATTGTTAGATACAAAGGATAACATCATCTAAACGGAATCGTTTTAGCGGAATCGTTCAATCAGATCGTAAAGGGAGGGAAAGAATAAAGGATACAATTGTGAGAATCCTGAAAGATAGGTCAGTGCACATCGAAAGAAATAATGGAATCAAACCAGCCCACGGCGTGCGTATCAAGGATCTATATGCCGAAAAACCGTTTTTACGTAATTCCGGAAAAGGGAGGAAAATCTCGAATAAAACGAAAAGAGAATTAACGCATAATCGACCTACATTTTGAAATGAAATCTCTTGACTTTCCATTAACGACATTATTTTCAATCTTTTTGATCGTTGCTTTTTTGTGAGAAATTTTATCTTTGTTTTGAAATTAATAATTAAAATTCATTAATTAAACAAAATAACGTTTGCATCTTTAAATTTAAATTATAAAAATGTTTTAAAATATTTATATTGGTGTAAATATTTAATAAAAATGTTGCTAAAACTTTATTTTATTCATTGTGAAAAAGAGTTTTGATTTACCAAATATATAAAATATTCTTAATGTTTACCAGCATCTTTATTTATTTGGACAATTTATCATAATACAACATATTATTTATTACTTACAATATCTATATAGAGTTAATACCACAGTTTCTACATTTATTTATTAATTCTATTTTCTTATATTACGTATAACATTATATATAACTATACGAAATATCTGTTAATATTTTAACAACTTACGACTGTTTACTCTTGCTCAATTTAGACACGATGCGATTATAACAAAAATTAATGAGTAACTTTAATGCAAAGAATACACTTAACAATATTATCAAAAGATTAAAAACAGTAAAAACCAGAAATGCATAGACATCGATTAGATTTTGTTCCACCCAGCTTTGAGATCTCAGCGGCGTTGTTAAACTTCCATTTGGTTGACGAGCGGCGTGTTTAATGCTCCAAATAGCTAAATCTAATGGCGGTAATGGTCGATCCCGGAATTCGCTGGATAATCGTTTCATGTTTTTTGTATAACTGCACGAAAAATATTTTACCATTATAATTAATACAATATAAACTTAACTAAAGATAAAGCTACCCACACAGTAAAATATATTACCAAGATATCTAGAAGATATCTGAATAACGGAATATCTGATTGCGCAAGATATCATGAGAATATCTCAGAGACATCTCCATGATTATAAAAAGCCATGATAATTTTATCTCAGATATGATATCTGCATATATATATCGGATATCTATGCCTCATTTAAAAGCGATATGTTACATACAACTCAAATAGCAAGAAGAAAAGAATTCTTTTTAAATTCTTGATTTATGAAATTAATTGTTTTTCCGTATTTATTCTCTGTTCTAAAATGATTCTTAAGAGTTTAAAAGAAATTCATTTTTATGTCACCAATTCTGAGTTTTTCTTCAAATATAAAAAAGTTCTTTTCATAAGAATCCACAACAAATTCAAAATTATTATGCTTCGATACTATTCAAATATTTTGCATTTTACCATTTCTGCACTGTATGATATCTCGGAGGTATCACGAAAAATATTAAAGCCAAGTATCTCACAGACTCGCCTTTTATCCTAGTGCATAAGAATTTTTGCTTATAAGAAAATACTGGCGCATGTAGCCGCGTCGCGGCAGCGCATGTTACTAGCACTCGTCTGAGCGAAAATTTCTAAGTCCCTTCGCGGCATGTTGCTTTCGTGCCGCGGTCGTTACCTCCGGCGCAACCCCAGCAAAAGTTTTCTAAGTCCCCTCGCGGCGAGTTGCTTTCGCGCCGCGGTCGTTACCTCCGGCGCCGCCCGAGTGAAAATTTTCTAAGTTCCCTCGCGGTTTTTGCCGGGACAAATCAGTACGGCGTCCAAGTCCTCTCGGATTGTTTTATTGGCTATGAATAAACTTGAGTTGATCTTTATAAAATATAAGAGCTGACTCTAAATCGACCATATATTCGAATGCAAATATTGCAAAGATGTCTTTTTCAAAGATATAATATGATATCAAGTAATGATGTCCTGCAGATATTCTGTGAATATCTGAAAATAAGATATCTCAGATTTGACTTGAAATTGTAGGCATAAAAATATCTGACTATATCTCAGATATATTTTGCTGTGTGGGTAAATATAGGCAAACATATAAACAAAAAATAAAATTCTATCTTATATTTTATATTCTATATAATTTTATATTATTTTTTGGATATTATTTTTACAGGACTTTATATAAAACTAATTATACTATGTTAATTTAGACATTATTGGAGATAATTACATTGTGTTTATTTCTCAAATAATAATTGTTATATTAAAATATAATACCTTTTATTGTAAAATATTTCTTCAATTGCGTGTAGTACGGACTGCGTGGATAGAATTTTAAAATCCAAACGAATACCAACGCCTTTAGCCACTAATATTTCCGCATTGGACTTTTGATCCATAAAAAAAGGCGTTATAATCATAGGTATACCTTCCCAAATGGCTTCTTGCGTGCTGAGAAGACCACCCTGCGCCCAGAATGCTTTCACATTCTTATGAGCTAAACATAAAAATTTATTCTAACAAATTATGACTCTCAATTATTATAATCAAAATATGAAATTAATATATAAGCATTTTGTTAATTGTAAAAATTACATTTAAATTAATAACTAGTATTTTTTAATCCACATATTTTGTTGCCTGCAAATTATTTACAAATTTATTAGAAAAAAACTGACTTTTTTATAACAAGATTATATTATAAAATGTAATTGTATAATTAAAAAAAAAAAAAAAAATTATCGTAAGTATACAAAGCTATAAAATAAAATAAAATTGTTTAGGCATTACGAACTACAAAATAACTAATTGTAAATGAGTTTAATTGCAAACAAGAACAATAATTGATTTTTTGTACCGTATATATTTTTAAAATTGAGTTTTCACTATGATAAGTAATATGTGTAAGAATTGTTCAATCCATAAACTAATTATAAGCGCGATGCGTTTGTGTAAATCTATCGCGATATTTTACTAAAATACTTGAATGGTGATTTTAATAATATAAAAACGTATAAGTAATTTTCGCAATTACAAATCTCATTCTACTTAAAGGAATCCTATAGTCAATATAGTGGAGGCCGAACTTCCTTGACGTCGGTAATGTCAACATTTCTAATCCTGTTTTCTATGTTATATATCTAGAGTTCTTCTAGTAAGAGTTAGGACACCGTCCGTTATTAACAGGGAATTATGCGAACGATCCAGAGAGACAGCCTCCCCACTCTTGTACTTCAGAATGTGCTTTGTCTCACTCCCACTAACTTCTCCCCTGTTAATGGCGGTAGTCAGACAGAACGTTCCAAAAAAATATCCCACGACAGAACATCCCACGACTGGCCACGACAATATGTCCAAAAAAATATCTCCGTGACAAAATATCCTGCGACAGGACGTCCACGCGAAACGAGGAGCCACATGGGTTTACAACTTTCCACGCGTGGAAAGCTTACGCATGTACTTTGAAGGCACACTATGTGTCTAGTTTAACAATAGTGGAGCTCTCCGCAGGGGGGCGGAACCTACTGCCTCCACGCATACACTTTTCACGCGAGACGGAGCCACATGGGTTTACAACTTTTCACGCGTGGAAAGCCCACGCATGTACTTTGAAGGCACACTATGGCTGCTTTCGGTTTGGGCGCTCACGCGCTGTAAGCATCATTCTATCTTCGTTGCACATCGAATATCAAACGAAGCTAGAGTGATGCTTACAGCGCGTGAGCGCCCAAACCGAACGCAGCCTATGTGTTTAGTTTAATAATAGTGGAGCCCCCCTCAGGGGGGCAGAACCTACTGCCTCCACGCATACACTTTTCACGCGAGACGAGGAGCCAAATGGGTTTACAACTTTTCACGCGGGAAAGCCCACGCATGTACTTTGAAGGCACACTATGTGTCTAGTTTAATAATAGTGAAGCTCCCCGCGGGGGGCGGAACCTACACTGCCTCCACGGATACACTTTTCACGCGAAACGAGGTGTCACATGGGTTTGTGGTCATATATTAGTATGTACGCATGTGCTAATGTAATACCGTAATAGAACCGACAATGACATATATATTTATTTGCTGATTATATCGTGGGTATTTTGTCGTGGGAAATTTCGTCGAGGGTACATTTTGTTTTGGAACGTTTTGTCGTGGGATGTTCTGTTGCGGGATATTTTTTTTTGGGACGTTCTGTTACGGATCCGTTAATGGCGGACGATGTCTTAAGGGGATTCTATAGTGGCGGTAGTTACCGACATTTTTTCATTTTAAGGAATCTTTGAATTGGCTTTACAAAATTGCAAGTTTTTGGTCTAGAATTAAGGTACGCACAAAAATCTACATCGCGTTATACGATTTCATATCGGGAACGAAAAAAAATTAAAAATTTTACTAATTTGGGCACATACAACTGTCATCTGACGACAATAACAAAATTACTGCAGTTTATACATATATAATGACACCAAGGCGACGTAGGGACAACATGTAGGAACAATATCGTGTAAATAAAACTAAGATTCAACGTCTAGAAAAAAAGATTTTGTAAAATGAAGTTTTATTAAGCAAAAGCACATTCAGGTTGATAGGATAAGCAGTATTGCGTGTAGCGAGAGATGGCGCAGCAATCGAACAAAGACAGATGCCCCTCGTTAGACAAGGACAGATATAGATATATAACATAAAAAACAGGATTAGAAATGTTGACATTACCGACGTCGAGGAAGTTCGGCCTTCGCTATAGGATCCCCTTAACTCTTACTAGAGGAACTCTAATACATCTATATCTGTCCTTGTCTAACGGGAGGCATCTGTCCTTGTTCGATTGCTGCGCCATCTCTCGCTACACGCCATACTGCTTATCCTATCAACCTGAATGTGCTTTTGCTTAATAAAACTTTATTAGAGAAAATCTTTTTTTCTAAACGTTGAATTTTAGGTCTATTTACACAATATTGTTGCTAAATGTTGTCTCTAGTCCGCCTTGGTGTCATTTTATATATATAAACTGCAGTATTTTTGTTATTGTCGTCAGATGACAGCTGTATGTGCCCAAATTAGTAAAATTTTTAATTTTTTTTTGTTTCCGATATGAAATCGTGTGTCGCGGACTAGATTTTTGTGCGTACTTTAATTTTGTAAAAGAATTTTGCAATTCTGTAAAGCCAATTCAAAGATTTCTTAAAATAAAAAAATGTCGGTAACTACTGCCACTATATAGGATCCCCTTAATGCTATTTCTAAGATAACACAAAACAATAATATCTAAAAATTGAATTTTATAGATTAACATTCTAATCGTTAATAAAAAATTACAAGTAAGTCATAAAAGTAAACTTGAATACGTATAACAGTTTTTTAAAGAAATGTATAATAAATAATTAAACATATGTATATTGAAATATATATATATATATATATATATATATATATATATATATATATATATCATGTTTTATGATTTTCGTATTTTTCTAAAAATCGAGAAACGTACACAGAACTTCTCGTTGCGGTATCCATTTCACAGTCATTACATTTTCCGGTATTTTAAATGGCACTTTAGCTTTAGCATCTAGCTTCCAAAGCACTCGTTGCTTTAGTTTTGACAAAGCCAATACTATGCTCTTAATCTTGTTCAGTTCAACAGTTTTCCATTTTAAATTTGTTCCTAACGATATTACGATGACTCCGGTCTTTGCTCCATCAAGAAATATCCGCACATCCTGCAAAATAATGATAAAAACATTTAATAATGTACGAAAATATTATCTTAATTTCCAAAACAGCTCAAAAGTAAGCAATACATTAAGAAAACGTATTATTCTATAAGCAAAAAGCAACGTAAAGCAGACCAGAGTTGCTTGTCTCATGGGATAGTTGTCACATGTTTCTGGATTTCAATTACTATTATATAAGTGCTGTTGTATTGCGACTTCGTAAGCGTATATGTTAGGCAGTGTTTCTCACAATCACGTCGTATGCGTGATTTGGGACGCGTGATGTAACATTTTTCTGTGTTATTTTGAGAATTACTGTTTCCTGTATTGGTAAAATAAATTTTTCGAATTTCACTTAATTGTTAATAGAAGACACAAGATTGAGAAAATTATATGTTTTGTTAAGTTCTTTTAAAACTTTATATTTGTAATAGGTTCTGTGAAAAGAAATTGTAAGTCCGAGAATGTTCTAATGTTTTTGATCACGATCTTGTTAAAATTCTGTTTCCTTAGTATACACAATTTATTTGCTAATATTGGAGCTATATATTTGCTACTTTTTAAGTAATAACAAGAACAATTATTCTTACCTCAGAATATGTTACCACTACGTCTCCAACAATCGGTTGCACGACCTGAACATGCAATCCTCCAGTCTCCAGAGCATTCGGTGGCAATGGAATCCCAGGCTCGAATGCACAATAACTATTGATTAATACGATATTAATACTGTCTTTTTCTATTTCATGTAATGGCTGGATTGAGTGGCCTATGTATTCTTCGGCGAGCCGTTGAACGATAGGCAAGAAATAATAGTGTCTCATAAAATCGTCCGCGATAAAATACAGAGTATTCCACGTTCTCTGCCACAAACCTACGGGTTTTGCAATATCTGAACTTGCATAAGGTCGAACAGTTGAGTAACTTGGACCACCGATATAATCCTTGAGCCATGGTGCAGCGCCTAACGGAATAAAGCCAACTATGGGTGGCTTACCTTTAGCAACCTGTAAAGAATACTTACACTAAAAAAAAATACTTAAAAATTTATTTGTGAAATAAAAGCTTTATTTCACAAAAGGTTTATTTCTATGAAATAAACCTATATTCCACAAATAAATTTTTAAGTATTTTTTTTTCTTAGTGTACAGGGTGACAATGGCAAAGTTGCTAAAACTAAGTAGCTATTATTTGTGAATAATTAAGAAGAAATAATTGAATTAATTAAATATTACTCTATAACAAAAAATCCGTTATTTTATTAGCACACAATGCAAAACATTAATGCATAATTCATGTCGTTGTATCTATCATCATTTTAATCATCTTATAAAATAAGTTATATAATTTTATATACATATAGTTCCAACTTCTCTTAGATTGTATTCTACAATCCATAGAGAGAGGGCCGCGAGAATTTTTACATTCTTATATTTTTTTTCTTATGTATATTACAACTTAAAAATGCCATTTATTTCAACTAATAAGCGATAATAAAAGTTATCATTGATTGAACAATGACTAAATACTTTCAAAGCTGCAGTACAATGCCGCAAACAAAATTTGACTTACAAAACAATTTCAGTCGCTTAAAAATGCGACGGACTAAATAATTACAGTTTACTAAATATACATCGCTTATCTTTACCTTCCACAGTCCATACAAACATTGATGTAGAGTAACGTCTTGCACTATGACATCAAACTTAACAGTCTTGATCATTTCTAAAAGTTCTTTCGCTGCATTAGTTTTTATCACTCTGTCACATCCGTAGATGGCCCATTGATATGTAACATACGCCATATGAAATGCATTGTATTTTTCCCACTGTGCCGGACCATAATCCTCGTATTTATCGGAAGAATTCATAAGACCTTCAAAAACCTGAAAACGGTGCTTTTTATTTTAGGAGAAAAAGACATGTAGAACTTAATAAATTAGAATTCTCGAAAGTATATTAATCTTACATAAAATATAAAACAATATTTAAAAAAACAACTTATATTCTTTCGCATTTGTGTTTTAAAAATTGTAAATAATAGATGCATATTCAGAATATTTTTGAGTCTTGTAATACATATGTACTTACGGCGTATGTCAAGTTCTGTGCGAGTTTACCCTCGACCTTAGTCTTGAGTGTGCTCACTGCGTGTACTTGATGGCCTTCGCGAAGCAATCCTTTGACCAAATTCGTCGCCCAAATGTGATGACTGGTCGATGGAAGAGATTGCAGGAGTAAAATCGACAGCGGTTTCGACGATGTCATGAGGCCCATTAAAATACAACAAACAAGGTGAAATAAGATGGTACAACTTGTCATTGTTGGTACGAACGTGAAAGTCTCTCGCGTGATCTTCCGATCAATTCCAGAAACCATATATTAGTATATACGAGTCCAGCACTACATTTTTCTACTCTTCGTTTCAAGTTAATAGTCCTTTTGACGTATACTAATAAGCACAAAATTAACAGTAAGTAACAGATAAACTTGAAATTACGTAATAACTGGCAATTGTCGACATTTTCTCGATAACTTACAAGAAAACGTAAGTAACTAGAAACCCAAGTATTCCTATCCCGATATTTTAAATACAATAGATGTTTAAATACAAATAGATTATTTTTGGATATTCTAGAACGTATGATCAGTAATATGTATTATAATAAAAAACACGTATTTTTTTCATAAGTAATTTTATGCACATTTATGAAACACACCTTTGAAGAAAATTGACTTTTATGTTTCGACTTTCTAAGTGAATATCAGCGATACAACAGTAGGTATGCAAAAATATTTTAAACAAGACTTTAATAGTCTCAAAAGTACTTTATAACAATGTATTTAGATTTTTTGAAAAATACAATGTTATAATTTTTAAAATATCTCCACCATCTATTATATTTAAAAATTTTATATTTTTTTCAATTAAATTGAAGCTTATTTAAAGATAAGTTTAATCATGTAGAAAGTAATAAAATTATTTTTTAAAAATATACTTTTTAGAAATAAACTATAAAGATATAATGTATCTATTTATAATATACATATGTACTATTTATATAATATATATGTACTGTATATCTAATAGTATATCTAAAAGTATATCTAATATAACTAATATATCTAATATATTTATATTGTATATCTAAAAATATCTAATAAACATATACTGTATATATGCACATTATCTGTAACTGCCTTATATACCCACTATTTGCTTTATCAGCTTCTTTTGTTTTTTTTTACAATTCTAATGCAATGAATAGAATGCATATTCAGCACACAGTCATGAATAATTTTTAAGTATACTAATACATGAAAAAAAAAGATTTGCTACTATATATAGCAAATCTATTCGTTAAACATGGGACAACAAATATTTTTTGCAGCAAACGCTATTAATTTTGCAATAATAGTAAAACCTTTTGTTGCAATAGCAAAAGTTTTGCTAAACCTTTTGCTACTTATGTTAGTAATAAGTTGCAAAAAGATTATGCTACTAGGTATTGCTAAATTATAGCTCTTACAGCAAAAAAAATGTTAGTTATTCCTATAGTATCAAATCCTTTTCTTTTCGTGTATTATATACTATAATTATATACTAATAATAGCAATACATTTATGAAAGTAGTAAAATAAAAGTTAACTGATCCAATGACAAATAAACCGAATATTAGTTTGTCATCAAAGTTTATTCGAAAAAATAAAAAATTATTTAGAATAATACAAGGTTACACAGTAAAAAATAAAACGTAATTTTAACATTTTTTACATATCCCAGAAAATCCACTCTAAATTTTAAGTTAAAATGACTCATTCATCATGTGTTACTTGTTGACAACTTAAAAATTTTAATTAATTGACACTACTTTACATTCATATTAGTTTTTTTTACTTTATTTTTCAAGTTATATTAACATAATATTAATTATTTTACAGATTTTACTTAAATTATGTGTAATAGAAATATTTAATTTTAGTAAATTTAATTATTTTGTATGTCAAAGTTTACGATTATTTGAAAATTTACGTTTAACTTTTGTTTATGTGTTAAAATAACTTTAAAACATGTTTATTTTTTAAAGTAATTGTGTTAAAAAAACTTAAAATAATATTGAATTTCTAAATGACATATATAAAGTGTTAAGTTATCACGTTGACATAAATGTAACACATAAAAATGTTAAGAAAAAAATAACATAATAGCTGTTGTATGTTAATTTTACATTGAAATAATATTCAATTAATCTTGGTAACACAAGAAAATTTTAACATATGGATTGCTATGTACACACGCTTTTTTACTGTGTATAGAATTAAATGCATTGTTAACGCAATATACACTTCTATATAATATAATTTTGATTTATAATCTTTACCTAAGCTTTCTTTTTTAAATCTTTCATATATGTTCTTTTTCAAATTTTCCTTCAATTTTCTTACTTATTAAACCTTCCGTTTTATTTGTTTTTAATTTTTTTATTTCTTTTTTTCTCTTCGGCTCAGAAGATCCTGCAGTGACAGGCGAACTTCTTCGATGTCGATAATGTCAACCTTTCTAATTTTGTTTTCCCTATATCTGTCTTTGTCTAACGAAATGACATCTGTCCTTGTTCGATTGTTCGCCATTTCTCGCAAAATTCGGCAACTAAGTATTGTTGCTGCTCTTCTTGTCATCCTGCATCCGTATTTGCATTACTAAAATAAAATTTTGATGGATTTTTTTTGTACGCATTAAATCTTACTTCTACTTGCACGATATTATTCCTACATTCCCAAACATTATGTATGTATAAACTGCAGAATTTTTGTTTTAAGCCAAATATTGTCGTCAGGTGACAGCTGTATGTGCCCTAATAAGTAATATTTTTAATTTTTTCGTGTTTTTGATAAAAAATCGCGTTTGTTACCCTAGATTTTTGTGCGGACTTTAATTCTGTAAAAGATTTTTGCAATTCTATAAAGCCAGTTAAAAGATCTATCTAAAAATGATAATGTCGGTAAATCATACGGCTGCAGGATCCCCTTAAAAAGAAAATTTATTTTACTAAAGTTAATTGTTTATCCCTTTCTAAAAAAGACGTGCAAAGTCGATACTCGAATGTATCGCGGTTATTGTTGCTTCTTTTCCGCGATGCCGATTGGTTCTCTCGCTGTGCTTACTTCATGAGCAGCTGTCATCGTATATTTTGACAGTTGTGTGTAATGTTAAAGCTAAATAGCGCGCGCGAAGCGCGCGTCTGTAGTGTCTAGTCTCCTTTCTCCTTTTTCTAAAAAGAGCATGTCATCGAATATCGATACTCGAATCTATCGAAGTATTAATTGTTGTCGCTTTTCCGCGATGCCGATTGGTTTTCTCTCTGCGCTTACTTCATGAGCGGCTGTCGTGGCATATTTTGACAGTTGTGTGGTTAACAGTGTAATTAATAATAACAGTAAAATATCAAAAATAAATAGCGCGCGCGTAGCGCGCCTCTGTGATGTCTAGTATACAAAATATTACATATAATATAACATCTAAAAAATGTTAACTTTAAGCGTGAGAACTCATGCGCGTTGTCCAAGTAACTGACGCCTCTCCTCTTCTGTCACTCTGAACTGACCGAAAAATTCATCAAATCGCGTACTTTACACAAGTATTTCTCGAAAATAAATATCGCAAGGGTATTGACACTTATATCGCATATTATTTCTATTTTTATGGAGCATCATATACTAGTTTTTCAAAAACATTTAGAGAAAAATTTTTTTACAATTCATTATAACGTCTGTTTCACAATAACTCGAAATAGTAATCCCATGTTAAAAGTTGAAACTTTGAAACTCAGTATTTCGATTTTTAATGCCGCAAAAGGTACTAAAATTTATACCACGCATAAAGCACACCTAAATTAACGTATATTCACTTCAAGAAAATTGAGAAAAAATCGATTTTTCGGAGAACGGTGCTTTGTTTGAATAAATTTTTTAATTTTTTTTTACTATTTTGTACATTTAATTCTTGTACAAAATAGTAAAATTGTACAATTATACAAAAGTTCATATTTCGATAACTCATTATCGATACATTTATGCATCGCCGATATAATTATATATATAATTACGTTTGATAATGTAGAAATCTTTAATACACAGCAATGTCAATGATATACAAATTTATACAATGTTGACAATATAGAAATTTTCGAGCTTACTGATGATAGCTTATTACCATCTGCACGCAAATCAGGAAATAACGCGCAAACATTTCATTTAATCGATAAAGAGTGTTGCAAAGAGTGTTGAATATATATTTTGTGCAAGCCTCGGGTAAATCCACGGAGAGCACAAACGAGGTATGAAACTCTGGCTGATAAATTTGAGTTGCGAATAGATTGGTCAGAAATCGATCGATTTGCAACTCAAAATCGATACACGAAGATATCGATCAATACAATAAGAGCGTTAAAGCAAATGATTTAAATTTACAATACAATACAGCAAGGAAATGTTTATTACAGTTATATTATGACTAGAGAAAAAAGTATATTATTATAAAATCGACAGATATAAACAAATACAGACATATCCTCAAATGCAAGTTAAGAGAATTCAAAAAATACTAATAACTGTAAAAAATTTTTATAAAAATTTTAATAAACAATATTATTTAATTTAATACAAAAAGAAGAACTTTTATTTAACAAAAAATATTAAAATATTTCTAATATCTACCATATTAATTTATACAATTGGTTTTTCCATTGAATGCAATACAACATAGTATTAATTACAATATTTATGCAATTAATATTACATTTTCTATATTTGTATAATAACTTTTTAGATCCACATTAGATGTAGTAACTATACGCAATGTTTGATAATATTTCAACAGCTTAAGCTTGTTTGCCTTTGCGCAATTTAAATGTAGGCGTATTAATAATCCATCGAAGCTCCATAAAACACATATGGTTGAGCTATATGACGTCTAAAATACATCTATCAATACGTCTAATGAAGATCTAATGGAGGTGTGAAATGCGGAACTATGGATGTCTATTAGACATCCATTGAACGTTACATGGATATGTCTAATGGAGGTTCTGAATCTCCATGATGGACGTCTATTAGAGGTTTTTGTTTTCTGTGGGTGTCATCATCAGTATCTTCTAAATATAGAACCATATAATTGTTTATATGTAATTCTATTCCTCTAGCTCTATTCTGCATAGAGCTATTAAAATAATATAATGTAACCACGGCCTTAGACCGTGAGTGTAACAGTTAACAATATACATATAAACTTACGGCGCAACTAAAGATAAAGTTGAATATGGGAAAACACATAAACAGAAATTAAAATTTTATAATATATTATTTTTTGAACATTATTTTTATAGTACTTTATAAAACTAATTGTACTATGTTAATTTAGACACTATTGAAGATAATTATATTATGTTACGTTTTATTTTTCAAATAATAAATATTACATTAAAATACAATACCTCTTGTTGTAAAATACATCTTCAATTACGTATAGTACGGACTGCGTAGATAAAGTCTTGAACTATGTGCGATATCGTTTTCAGAACCCGTTGCTTTCTAAGTAAAAAAATTTTTCCTATTTCGAATTAATGATTAAATTCATTGATTAAACAAAATAATGTATCTATAAATTCAACCTATAACAACTTTTTAACCCTCGGAGAACACCTATTTTTTCATTCACGGAGAACACTGGGTCAATCCGACCCTACACACACTTTGATCGTCCACCATTTTAAATTGACGAGTGCGATCTGTTACGTCCGGCGAGGGGCGCATTTATATAAAACATGAATAAGACGATATAGCTCCCAGGATACACAATTGGATACA